CTGCACAGCCACCCGGCCGTGGGCTGCGGGTTACAGCATCACCGCCCGTGTGAGGAAGAAAATAGGAATCGGATGAAGCAGTGATGAAATGATCTACCCCAGAAATCTACTACACCTGGGAGCCACCGCGCAGCTGTCAGCATCCTGGCGTGTCCCTCCGTCATCCTTACAGCCTGAGGATGTGGGCGGAGCGTTTGATTTTGTGTCACAGGAACTGTGGCGTTAGGATTTAAAAGTTTAAAGGGATGATGGCTTCAACATGGCAGATGTTCCTGATCCCTGCTGGCCTCCCTCCCACCTCCGCCTCAACAGAGCAGTGAAATGTTGGGTCCCTGCCAAGTTCCTGTAGCCCAAGAAAGGGCTTCGCCGCATGCCCGCGCCCGTCAGGGTCCCACCACAGTAAGTATAGAACGCTTCCCGCAGATTTACAGTATTTACATCCACATCGTCGTTTCTTCACGTCAATAAAAGCAGCAGGAGACGGGAGGTCACTGCTGGAGACGAGTGTCACTGCCAGCCGAAGCCGTGACACGGATTTGCCGTCGTGGCTCGGACAATGGAGGAAACCCACACATCCGACCCCGGAGAGCTGGAAAGACCTCCAGGCTCCTGGAGCAAACCATTTAACTTCAGACGCGGTTGCTCATGTTGCATTGCGTCCCCTGGCCTCAGAGAGGCAGACCCAGCACGACGAGCCCCCCGCCTGCTCGGAGAGGTGATGCAGCTCGGAAGGTACAAAAGCCCGAATCAGATATTTTGATTTCATTTTTAATGAGTTGCATTAGTGCCATGCAAGCGGAGTTGTCGCGGTGCCTGGTGAACACCCGCCGGGGCAGAGGCAGTGCCAGCGGGCACTCGGCACGTACAAAAGCGGTGAGCAGCGTGTCAGGCAGAAGCCTGCCGTCTCTCGGTGTTTGGGGAAAGGCCTCGGGAAGACAGGACAAAGGAGCAGCCCCGTCTCTTTCTCTCTGCTTATGGGTACTCTCGAGCTGACCCCTTGGGAGCACGGGACCGGCCTCACTGGAGGCGAGTCACGTACAGACGCTGGGGATGGGGCGATGCTGAATTTCTGGACATTTTTAGACTTCTCAGACTTTAAATACAAAGGGCTAGGGCTGATTCCTAGCGAGGAGGCCTGCTGATTTGGCAGCAACGTACACCTACAGCCTGCACCACAAAGCATGAAGGACCCCCAGTCTCAGTTCCCAGGCTGCCGGACCGACCCCCCCTGTGTCTGGGCGTTGCTGCTGGGAAGGCAGTGCCCGCGATGGAGCTCTGACATCATACGCTCCTAGGAGCATCAAAACAAAAATGGGAAACAAACCATGACGAAAGGTTTTTCCACTAATGCTTTCCCATCACATCTCATACCCTTTTGCATCCACATACTGGAGGACTCACAGCAACGGCAGAGCTTCACGTCTGCACTTCAGGGTTTCTTCACCCGTCAGCTCTGAATCAGTCAGTTACTCTGCAAAAGTCAGAGCGAGACGAAAAAGGGGGGAGAGCGACAGAGGGAACAACAGCAAAGAGTAACGCAGGGCTGGCAAACTACCGTTAGCGAAAGGCTTATTACATATCTCTGTTACATAGAGAAATTCTAATGGATAATAAAGAAAGCAACAAAGTTCATGGCTGGTCTGGCGCTGTGTCACTGCATGCCGGGAGTTACATCTCGGAAGGGCAGTTAAGTTGATCCGTGGGCATCATTTTCTCAGTGTCAATCTTGTAGGACTGGAGAACGCTCTTCAGGTGCTCCACGGTTTCTGGGTGCATATCGGGAGCTCTTGATAGAATCCAGGCGTAGTCAATGTGGAAGAGCCAGAGGATGTTAGTGCAGGAGTAAACCAGCGAGTAGTTTTCATAGTCGGTGGAGATGACCCAGTAAGGGGCAGAAGGCATGACTAGGAGAAAGAACCGCACTGTGAGCGCCATGAAGAACCGACTCTGGACTGCCCTGCAGCACTGGAGCCATGTGTTCAGAAAAACCAGCCTAGTCCTGGCCCTGTGGGGCTGCCTCCCCCACCTCCCACCCTCCCTGTCCCCATCTGACTGTAGTGCTGCTGATCCTTCTTGCTTTGAGACTGGCTGGTGGGCAGTGCTCTACCACTGCGGGGGCTGTTGCTGTAACCGATGTATAAATGTCACCAAACCACTGCCTGCTGGTCACAACATCTGTCCTAACCCTTCGCAATGGCCCCGTCATGCTGCGCTGAAGTTACCAGGGCAGGTTCCCCTCTTGCTTTGCTAGCTTTGCACCCCTGATGACACGGCAGCGGTGCCTGCCCAGCACTGCTGAGGTCGGCGGGCACTGGGGAGCCAGCGGGGGCTGCGAGCCTCCCGCCCACACACTTACACCAGTTAAAGCGGACACCCAGCTTGGCCGGCTCCTTTACATCCATGTGCATGATTTCTCCTTCGACTTCGTTGACTTTGCCATTGGAACTAAGAGGAGAAATAAAATCAGGTGAGTTTGAAATCACTTCTTTTTTTGCTTCCGCTAAATCATCCCTCCTGATGCATCTCCCTGCCAAGATGTGGCCGAAACACGTACCACCTAACCACAGCATCCCTGGAGGGACAGGTCGTCCCTGGGGACGGTTTCAGCAGCGCCCAGGGCACACCAGGTCCTGGGCCAGGCACAGCAGGGCAAATGTCCCCGGTTAAACCAGCCCAGCAGCCCAGGGTGCCTCTCCCCCAGTGCCCCTGCCAGCAGGGTGCACTCCAGTGCCATGGGGACCGTGACAGAGGGAGAGGAAGACCCATCCGCACAGGACAGGATGATCCCAGCACTGATCTCGGATGTGCCAGGGAGCAGCTCAACTCCTGCGAGTTCTGGAAGGCTTGTGTTCACGTCTGTTTAATCACCTGCATTTTTTCCAGGTCACGGTGCATTCCTCCGCACCTGTCCCTGCTTGGTGAGCCAGGGTTTGTTTCACTGCTGGCAGCAAGCCCTGCGACTCGGGCTGCCCGTCATGTAATTACATTTTTCCCGGGATGCCTCAAGACCTGGACGCTGCCTGTGGGGCAGGAAAGTGTCACGCTCCCCTGTGAAACAGGAACACCCAAGGAGGCAGAAGCCAATGCTGCCAGCAGCAGCGGTCGCGGGGCTGATGCTGAGCCGTGCACAGCGCACACCCGACCCCAAACATTTCCTGAGTGAGCCGCAGGCACAAATAAAAGGTCAGCTGTTTGCCAGGCGCTGCCCTAGCAGTGGTGCTGCAGAGACAGTGCTGCGTGGTCAGCGAGCGGCGTGGACGCTGCTCTGCCGGACACAAGGGATGTGTTGCTGCGTTGTTGTTATTGTGAGCCAGAACAAAGTCCCCATGCCATGCCAGGAGCACGGGACAGCACTGCATTCACTGCTCGCTCCCTCTCATTCATTCAGCAGCACCCCATGGCAGCCGGGGCTGGTGATGGAAACAGATAAATTAATATCTGCATCAGTCCATGCAAAAAGCCAGGAGAGCTCACGATAATTGCAAACTATCAAGTACAATAAAGAGAACAATCCATGCATTCACTTTGCTCACTGATTTAAATGGGCAGCAATCGCCGATCCCCTGACACAGCAGTTACTACCAGTGCCAGGTGAATGCTCCAGAAAAAGGCTGACAAATACTTGCCTAAGTAAAAATGACCCATGTGCTTCACCTTCCCTGCCCCTTTTCATCAAGTCCCTTTACTCTGGAGCAGAGGAGCACAAGGCACAGGCACCTCTCAGCACGCAGGGGCACACAGTGATGGCTGCCGTCCCGTAACAACCCCGTACCCCCCGGGACAGGACCCGGGGCATCCGACTTCTCAGCTATCACTGGGGATCACAAACCAGTCAGGGGGAGACCCAGGCTATTTCACACTGGAGTCACTGCGTGCATTTGATCTATTTTCTCACTACTCACCTGGGACAATGAGACAGAGACCTCTGCCTGAGCCCCAGGGAAGCACAGGCAGAGACAAGAGACCCACGTCTCTGCCGTAACCACAGCGAAGCCCATTATCCCAGCAGAGTTATTGCAATCACAGGGTGCCTCCCCCAGCACCCCCAGACCCAGGAACAGGAAATTTGGAGAAAAATGACCACCCAGGACAGCGAGAGAGGTGACAGGAGTGCCACAGCTGTGGTGAGGACACAGCCCGAATGCAAACACTTACAGCAGCTCCTTGTTGATCACCTTGAACTTCCCATTCTCCTTCAGCGAGTAGTTTGCCTGGATGCAGCTTCCTTTCTCAAAACTTGAGGGCAGCTTCTCTATCTCATACCATTTCCCCAAATACTGATAAAAGAAAGTCCAGAGAGATGCTTTTAGCACAGGAGGGCTGGGGCAGAGCAGCCCGGCTCACTTGCTGGCACAGTTTGTTCGAGCATCCACCTCTGTGGTGTGGGAGGCTGCGGGGGGTCAGTGGGGCTGCAGACCCACGCTGGCACCTCTGGCACAAGGCGTCGAGATCGGACCTGCCAACCCCCCCCCTGCACCCAGGCAGTTTGCCGTTGCTCCCATGCCCCCTTAGCCTAACTTGCTACCCGCCGTGAGATTTTTAGAAAGCTCTTCACACCTTGTTGATATTGAAGTCTTCTTGGACCGGTGGATCTGGGCATGGTCCCATGTGAAACATCTGGCCTTTCCCAAGGCCGAGGAGGCCGAGCAGGACCGAGAGCCGCACCGCCGTGCTTAGCATGGCTGTGTGCTGGGATGCAGGCAGGAAAAAGGAAAATAGCTGAGCCGGGGCCTCCCTGGAGCAGAACTCTGAAATACAGCAAGAAAGACAGGACGTCTGCAGCAGGGCACCTCGGGGGCACAGTGAGGAGAAAAGGATCATGAGAAGAGCATGAAGGCACTGTGCCAAATAAGTCCCCAGCCCGAACTGCCTCAAGCCCTGCCTGTGCTCAGGCTGTGCCCAGCCTCTCTGCAGGAAGCAGAGAGGTGAGAGCACTTGTACCCAGCACCCGCACCTGACACCTAGCGAGATGCAGGGGTGATAAACACCCGAGGACACGCAGGAGCATCATCATCTGTCAAAAACTGAGGCAAGGGGAAATGCAGAGATGTTTGCTATGAAATGTGGAGCACAAAGCACATGCTCCAGAGCTGGGGCAGAGCCAGGCCCCTGGGACGTGGAAGCGAGCAGTGCACACATGCGGAGCCTGCACGGCAAGAGGAACGTCACCGTCTGTGCCAGGGCTGCCTGGCCCTGCACGGCAGTGGGAGGGACGGTGCGGCTGCCTCCTGGGGGTCTTCATGTGCCAGGACATACACAGCACTGCAGGGTGGGGAAGTTGGCCGAGGCTCCAATCAGCACCAAATAAAACATGAACCGACTCCCAAAAGCAGGCTGCGAGGAGGGAAAGGACACCCTGTCCTGCAGAGCAGAGGCGGGAGCTGTGCTGCTCATCCCCAAGTAGCCCCTGGAGCCAGGATGCTGCCCACATGCTTCGGGGTCTGCTTGGGGCTGATCAGCACCTACAGACCCCGCAGCATGGGACTAGCTCCAATCAGCACCAAATAAAACATGAACCGACTCCCAAAAGCAGGCTGCGAGGAGGGAAAGGACACCCTGTCCTGCAGAGCAGAGGCGGGAGCTGTGCTGCTCATCCCCAAGTAGCCCCTGGAGCCAGGATGCTGCCCACATGCTTCGGGGTCTGCTTGGGGCTGATCAGCACCTACAGACCCCGCAGCATGGGACTATTGTGCTTCCCTGGCCAGAAACTTCTCTGCAGGAGTGGCGGTAGCATTTTCCCCAAGTTTAAAAGAAAAGCCCGGTCTGTCTCCAGCCACAGAGCACGGGCCCCGTTGCATACACAAACACAGCTTTGATGTTGAATCTTTTAATTCAGAAACGTACCTTGGCTGACGAGGCGGAGTGATGCTCTGCAGAGGACCAGGGCTGCAATGAACAGCTCTGTGGTGAGCTCTCTGCCTCGTCGTTTTATAAGCGTGCTGTGATCATCATTATTCAGCGCTAGCACAAGCCACTCCCTGATCCTCGACGTGTTTTGTTTTTTTGGCAGGCCAGTCAGCTGCCTTAGGTCTGCAGCTGGTACGAAGCTGGAGATGGGCTGCAACTTGGCTGCTCACCCAGGCAAACAAAGGCACGCCACGTGTCCGGGTATCGCTCCGCAGTTGTGGGGCTCTCTGCGGTCCAGCCGCCCACGAGAGCCTCGGACCTGGGTGCAAACAGCAGGGAAAGGGGAGAAGTGCCGCAGCCTTTCAGAGCGGCTGGGGACTGCAGTGGCTCCTGTCCTGCTCCCTCTGGCTCAGCAGCAACCCTCGCTGTGCTCCCAGGGGGGATGTGCGACCTCCTCTCCCCACGCACAGCCCGTCCCAGGGGCCACCGGAGCCCTGGGGACTCTCCAGGCCACTGCAACGTGCTTGTCCCCATCACAGTCGCTCACAGAAGTGCATGGCGAGGATTAAGCAGCGGGAGGCACCGCAGGCTCATCAGGGGAGCTGCAAGACCTCACAGCAGTTTTTCCTCTAGACTTTTAAATCTTATTAGAAGGAAAGATGCCTGTACAATTAGTTCTGTGCTGACCCAGCAGTTTTTCCAACAGGTGCCCAGCAAATGACTTTGACAGCAGAGCAGCCATCTGTGAAGGCAGCCGGTCCCAAGAGTTATGCAAGGAGAGTTGAGTAACAGACAGGATTCTCTCTGTGTTTAATTACATTTTGTTTTAATCTAATCTCTGTTGAGACTTTCTCCCTAGGTGTGTTTTTACACGCTACACCACGTGCCTTACTCACACACGCCCACACATGCTCTTCAGCCCCTGGCTGCCCAAATGCCACCCCAGGAGCCACACACAGCTTGGTCCTGTGCCTTACTGGGGCCGTGCAGCCGAGGTACTCCCAGGACCTCGACGGCCATCGTGGCTGGGTACGGCTCGTCCAACACAGACCCAGCAGCGACGGACGGGGGTGAAGAGTTCGGGGGAAGCACCCGCTTCATGGCCCTGCTGACGGCACTTGGTATGGGGCAGGGAGCACGCAGGGGTTGTCCCTGCCTGCACCCAGCTCCCCCAGCAGTTTGGCAGCCACCCTGTGCGTGTCCCTGATGGGGTTGCTCTGGCTGCACATGTCAAAGTCAGAAGTGTCCTGCAGACCCTCTGCAAGCCCCACATTCATCTGCACCTTTGGCGATACAAACAGGTTAGAAATCAGAACAACCCTGGACAGATGCCCTGACCTGAACGGTACAAGCGCCGCCATGCCGTAGTGCACTGCGGAGGTGAGATCCCACGCACGCAACACACCAGTGAGCTGGTTTTCCTCCTGAGCTTGGCTGCCTGCATCCTGCACAGCAACCGGGGGGAGAGCACTGCAGAACGGCCAGCCTTGCCCACAGCAGAGCATTTGCCCTGTGTGCGTGAGGACAAGCGTGTGGAGGTGTGTCGGTGTGCGTATCCACATCTGCATATGGAGCACTCTTCCATGGGGTGGAGTGAGGACTCCCTGCCTGTGGCAGCAGCATTTTTGCCCTTGGATGGAGCGGTTGTGATGAAGCGTTTTGCCCTGCTGCAGCAGGAGAGGCTTGTGCTTGCAGCCAGCACCAACAGCAGAGGAAGCAAACCTGTGTCTTGGCAGGTGACATGGGGGTCCCACCTCCAGCCGAAGGCAGTACCTTCAGAAGCCCAGGGGCTGCAACGTGCGGAACCTCGCTCCTCTGCTGGCTGCTGCCAGCCAAGGAGCATCCCATGGGTGCTGAGGCACTGCACGCCTTGAACACCGATGATGAGAGCTGACGGCCGAGCTCACTGCCAGCTGCTGGGACCTGTCTCCATGCGAGTGCTGACTGTGCCTTCCCCAGGGGCACATTTCTGGGCTCTGACCGGCCACAGCGGGAAGCAGCCAGGTATCTGCTGCTCCGGTGTTGGAAGGGAGCAGGCTCAGGCTCCTGCAGCCGAGTCCCTGCTTGGGGCCACCAGCCCGGGATGTGTTCACCAGCTACCCCGTCCCCAGCAACAACAGGACCCTCCTGTCATCCCACCTCCAGCACCCACCGGTACCACTCGCCCGCACGGACCAGGGCCCCGCTCTGTGTCCTGCCTGTCATTAGCCCAGAGCAGGACTTTGCTCGTGAGCCCGTTCACCTTCAGTGCACACCAGAGCAAGGGTTTGGGGAAAAGCATAACCTTATAATTGCACCTAATTGTGGGGTGGGGAGAAGTCATCTCCACCTGGTAAGCAGTTCATACCCTGGAGCAGAGGAGGGGAGGCACATCAAAGGGCAGGAAGCTGGAGCAGGGGTGGGAGGACAGGAAGGAGGAGAGCTGGGGGGAAACCAGGGCAAAGGGGGGGGGCACCAGACACACTCTGAACGCTTCATGCAAGAATGAAGCCTCCCCCACATTTCTGGGTGCTGAGGCAGCTGCAAGGCAGGTGTACGGGGTGCGTGCACAGCACGTGGAGGCTGAAGCGCTGCAGGGTTGGAGGCGGCGGCAGCGCTGCCTG